AGAGGCGACCAAACTTTCAATAAGAATATCACGTTTTTCAGTGCAATTTTTCACCAATTAAAACACCGGTAATGAAGTAAATGCTAGAAACGTTTAATGCCATTCTGCAGACAGTGTTGGGAAGGTGACTTTTAAAACGTATTCCCCTACAGATTACAGATTACATACCCCAAAATGTAGTTTGTAACGTAATCCATTAAATTACTTAAAGTGAGTAACGTAATCTGAATACTTTGGATTATTTGATTTGCTGTAGAGAAGCAAAGACGAGGAAATCCACACATAAGAAGTTTTGTCTGATAAAGGAAAATGAAAAGTCCAGATTTTACTTTACCAAATTAAAAATATTATTGATAGAAGAGGAAGAGGAGATACAGTCCGCACAGCATGGATTAGTCCTGTTTTAGTCCTTGTTTTAGTCCTGGTTTAGTCCTATTTTAATCCTGGTTTAAGTCCTGGTTTAGTCCTATTTTAGTCCTGGTTTAGTCTTTTAGTTCTGGTTTTAGTCCTGGTTTAGTCCTATTTTAGTCCTATTTTAATCCTGGTTTAGTCCTGGTTTTAGTCCTGGTTTAGTCCTATTTTAATCCTGGTTTAGTCCTGGTTTAGTCCTATTTTAGTCCTTGTTTTAGTCCTGGTTTAGTCCTATTTTAGTCCTGGTTTAGTCCTATTTTAATCCTGGTTTAGTCCTGGATTTAGTCCTGGTTTAGTCCTGGTTTTAGTCTTGGTTTAGTCCTATTTTAGTCCTATTTTAATCCTGGTTTACTCCTGGTTTAGACCTAGTTTAGACCTGGTTTAGTCCTATTTTAGTCCTATTTTAGTCCTGGTTTAGTCCTGGTTTTAGTCCTGGTTTAAACCTGGTTTAGACCTGGTTTAGTTTCCAGCAATGAGTGGAATTACCGGCAAAAAAAAAAGATAAAAAGGGGGAGATGGGATGTGAAAACAGGAAAATGTAATCCATTTATTACAACAAAGTAACTGTAATCCAATTACCACTCACTGAAACAGTAACTGTAACCGAATACAGTTACTCATAATTTGTACTCTGATTACATAACTCCGGTACTTGTAATCTGTTACTCCCCAACACTGACTGCAGTACATTCAAAACAAAGTAATAACATCTCAAACACTTGGCAGACAATCACCAGGAAAAGTTACACAGTGCATCTTTAAACAGATTTGACATAATTAAATCGTTATTTGAAAAGTAAGCACCTTTATTCATCTGCACGGCGCTCGATACAACAGGACAGAAGTGAAGTGTGGGTTGAGGGTTTAATTTCCCCGGGCAGTGTATTACAAAGCCTTATGTGGACTTGGGGAGTTACGTAGCGGCAGAGCTAATTCAAAGGAAACTATTTCTCACAGCTGTCACTGGATGTTTTATGTTTTCGTACGATTTTAAAATCTGTAGTGTTGAAATATGAGACGTAAGATGCCTTTTTTCCTCATCCGGTGTGTTCTCAAAGTTTTGGTTTGATTTAACAGATGGCGCGTAGCTGTTAATCAAAAATGTCACTGATTGGAAGTTATGTCTGCCGCGCGTCTCGTAAAAGAAATAAAAGTCTGCGCTCTGCCCTGTGGTCTTGTGAAGGAAATTGAAAACCAGGAAACAACGGCAGTCAAAGGTCCCATCTCTGATTTTGTTCACGTATTTGATCAGAATGTGTCTTGTCCCAGTACAGATAGAGTTTGTTGTGTAAGCAGCTCTTGAGGTCGAAACTTTTAGCGTTTTTTTACTCTGCGATAATCAGGAAGTGTGTGATTAGCATGCTAGTTACCAGTGGTGGAAGAAGTACTCAGTTTCATTACTTAAGTAAAAGTACATATACCAGAGCACAAACATACTCAAGTAAAAGTATCACTGGAATAATCTGATCCTGTCAGATCTCTGAAGCTCAGCAGGGCCGGTTCTGGTCAGTACTTGGATGGGAGACACTGGGAAAATCAGGAGCCACAGGGGGGCGCTAGTCACAAAAACTGTTGTTGTTGTTGTGTCCTTAGGCAAGACACTTCACCCACATTGCCTAGTATGAAAGTGATGTGTGCGTGAGTGATGGTGGTGGTCAGAGGGACCAATGGCGCAGATTGGCGGCCGCACTTCTGTCAGTCTGCCTCGGGGCAGCTGTGGCTACAGTAGTAGGTTACCACCACCAGGTATGGAGTGAATGAATAATGATCTGTAAATCATCTGTGTTTGTGACATATGTCTGTGAAAAGTGCTATATAAATAAAAAAAAAAACGTGCTTATGTACTTATTTATTGCGTAGATTTTAAGATATTGAAAAATAATAATTTTTATGAAATTTTTTGCTGAGACAATGAATAATTTTTTTTCCATCTGTTTTTATTTTATTGTATTATTTTTTTTTATTTTGTTGTTGCTCAAACTATGAAAGTTCTCAAAATAAACCATCAGCCATCAGCAGGTCTCAAACTATAATAAAAATACTTTTACTTTTCAGTCCAGTTAGCCAAGGTGAAAGTGGTTACCGGGGCTCACACTGAGTTCCCATCCACACCAGTACGTACCTGAGTTGTTTTCATTGTGGATGCCGTGTTCGTTCACACTAATCCAACTGAAAACTCCAGAGACGGAACGATCTGGTGCCGCCAGCTCCCACGAATTCCTCTGAGTACAGATCTGATCCAGCACTGTGTGGATGCCTGAAAACGTTGATACGCTGATGTAGGAGCTCTAGTTGCCATCCTTTTTGGACCACGTTAGTGTGACATGCACCTTCCTGATTTGCTGGGTTTGTGACATTGGTCATGTGATGCTATTTCGGAAAACAGTTTAAACAAACTGTAGACAAACTGGAAACTGCTTAGCTAGAACTAGTTGCACAGAACAGACTCACAGAAAAAAACACTCATATTCCACTGAGTCATGTCTTTTAGTCCGAAAGAAGAAGCTGAACCGCAGTGCACAAGGAGCGAGCAGTTTTTTTGAGCGCTCAGTTTATGCAAATGAGTCATGTGGTTTTAAGTTTCATTTCTGTAAAACATAAACAAAGCTGTGTGGATAGGGAAGACTTGTGGACACAGAAACAACCTGTCTGGATGCGAATTGTTTCTGAATACGGTGATTTGTTTCATTGTAAACATATCCTGAAACTACTCTGAAACTAACACATCTACTTGTTTACAGTTTTCTGTTTAGTTTAGCTGGGCCTATTGAACTGGCACTTGAGTGTGGGGTCATATTAGCAGAATCATTCAAGGCCATAATGGAGCTTTTACACCTCTGGGCCTGACCTGGTTGGTGCTGAAGAAGAAAAATTCCATGTTCATATTTGGTTTGCTGTAGTGGTGTTTTTATTGGTTGGAAGTTGCATGTTGTAAGCAGGCAGATGGTGACCTCCTGACACGCATGGTGTCTGTGGAGCAAGCTGACCATGAGCAAAGGTATAGCGAGCATTTTATACACAAAGAGGTGGGTAAAGTCTGCAGATTAACATTTGGAGGAATTTCACAGCAATAACAAAGCACCCTCATAAACCCCCTTTTGGTAAAACTGTCATTGTTTCAAAAGATTAGCAGTTCAAGTACAGCTGAGATCAGGAAGGACAGCAGCAGGGGGTAGAAGGTGAAGACCCCAGAGGTCTTTGATGGTGTCATGGGTCAAGTCTTTAAGTGTAAAACAAATCACATGTATTCGTTAACCAGAATGAAAACTAAAACCAGAGAATAATTACTTTTCTTCCACACACAGCCACATCAAATCAATAACATCTGCAGCCTTTTACCATCTAAAAAACATAGCAAAAATCAAAGGTTTACTGTCTAAATCAGACTTGGAGAAACTTATCCATGCATTTGTCTCCAGTAGGTTAGATACTGTAATGTTCTGCTCACTGGTCTCTCAAACGAGCTGTGAGACGCTGCAGAACATCCAGAACATCCAGAACATCCAGAACGCTGCAGCTCGGGTCCTGACTCGAACTAGGAAGTACGAGCACATAAGTCCTGTGCTCAGGTCTCTGCTCTGGCTCCTGTGCCTCAGAGACTTTAAAGCAGCTCTGCTTGTACAAGTGTCTCCATGGCCGAGCACCAAAGTCCATCTGTGACATGTTAGTGTCATATGAACCATCTCACACTCTGAGGAGCTCAGGGACCGGCCTCCTGCTGGTGCCCAGAGTCACGACTAAACAAGGGGAGTCAGAGTTTCAGGTTCATGCAGCTAAAACCTGGAACAGTCTGAACATGTGAGACAGACTCTTCTGTGACGCTGTTTAAATCCAGGCTCAAAACATTTCTGTTTAACTGTGCAAATAACTGAAAGGTTTTCATTCTGCACTCTTCTCTCCAATTTATGTCTCTCTTTTTTAATTTTAATCTTCATGATTATTTATGTTTTGATTTATTTTTATTATGATTTTAATGTATTTCTTATTCTGTAAAGCACTTTGAATTACTTTGTGTATGAATTGTGCTATACAAATAAACTTGCCTTGCCTTGCCACACTGGCAAGTAGATGTGTTAGTTTCAGTGTAGTTTCAGTGTAGTTAGCTCCTCCGTTCAGGCAGATATAAGGAAGTATCCACCAGTGTCTGACCAGAACTGAAGAAGCAGCTTGGATGAACTCCAAAATGTATTCAACCAAAATAAACTTTTGTCCAGTTGACAAATTGAATTTTTCCTATTGCCATGGATTCTGCGTGCGGGATTTTACGCTCATACTATTATTCTGATTGCAGCAACCCCATTTTCTGTACTTCTTTTGTGCGTACTGGTTGTGTATTTTCGTGTAAAACTGACAAAAATCACAAGTGTTCATTCTCCATCCTCTCCTCCCCTGTGTCATCTCCTCTCTCCGAGCTCTCGCGGGCGCTGAGAGACTGATGCAACGCACAGGAAACTATTTTAGCTCCCTGGGAACCGCCACCTCCGCTTTGCCCGCTCCTCCTTCTGTCGCACACTTCTAATCTCAGAGATGTGTCGTTCTGATAAGTGATTCGGGTTGATTCTTTTGTGATTTATTGTGTGTGATTTCAGATCCTCCCTGACGTGTCCGCACTGTCTCAAGCAGAGTAATACTTTTGACCCGTTCCTGTGTATTTCTCTGCCCATTCCGCTGTGCCAGACCAGGTGAGATCGACAAGTTCACATCACAGATTTTTATGATTCTATAATTTCTACTTCATTTGGTTAAAACTTGTTGTAAATATAAATGAGAATAGCTGAGAATTGCAAAGAATAGCTGAAAAATATGTCTATCCAAAAGTTCGACACAATTTATACACAATAATCACTTTTCTCAGTTACTTTACACATTATTTCAGCAAAATAAATGTGTTTTATTGTGTGTTTATTAATCAAATGTGCACTTTAGAGCAGTTTTGGCCCGGGTACATGATGGTTATTAGCCAGGAAGTAAAATTTTAAACCTAAAAAAGCCAATCACACTTTCACCAGACACTATTTTAGTAACATATTGAGAAAAGCCAGCAAGAAGTTTAAATATTTGTGCAGAGAAAAGCAAATCTATTACAGAAATCTTTTTTTAATTGATGAACTCTTTCTTTTACAAACTATTATAATATTATGAACAACCTGAAACTTTAAGGAAAATCCAATTTCAACACAATGTTTTAACATGAACTTGTATGCAAATAGAAATAAGTCAGTTTTTCTTGGAAAATCCTGCACTCGGCTCCACTTTTCTCATTTTTGACATTTTTCTGATGAGGGTGTCACAGTCAACAGTCAAAACGATCGTCCTTTAAGAGCGGTTGGAAAGAGACAAGTCTTCATTTGTGCTGCTCTGGTGGGAGGGGCCACGTACAGAGACGCTGGAGACGCTGCTATGAGAAGCACCGCAGAAATTTACCAATATTTTAATAGAAAATATAATTAAAATATTAAAGCCAGGTTTTGGAGAGCCAGATCTGGTCCCCGGGCTGTATGTTTGACAGCCCTTACCTAAACAAAAAGCACTTCCAATACTATATTTTGTCATTTTTACCCGCAGTCGTTCTCATGTAAACAGGCCCGTGGTCTTAAAATGTTCCATGATCCTGAATTTTATTTTTAAACACTATGGGTGACGTCACACTCGCTCAGTCCACTCCTTTTATTCTGTCGATGGTTTGGACACAGCATCTCATCCCATTTTCTTACTTCTTTTTTACATTTTAGAAACACACAGAAGACATCAAATACCTGAAGAAAGATATATAGACTTAAATAGATAAATAGTTAAATAAAAAAGTTAACTAATCCCACAAAATATTTTTCGACAAAGCAAAGGATGGATACTTTGAGGATTTATTTACGTAGAGTTATTTCACTTTTTTTTCTTTACTACACAATTCTCTACATCTTATTTCATATATTTGGTGTATGTCAAATGTAAAAAGTAGTAAACATACAGAAAAAAACACGCTGAGTGAGTCCAAACTTTTGACGATCTGCAGGTGAAGGCTCAGGCAGCACAGGCTCAGTTGTGATTGGAGTAGGCTCGCTTTTTTTAACTGTAAGCGTGCATTTTACAGACTTTACTTACCTTAACTCACATTTTTTTTGCTTTGTTACAGTTGAAATTTACAACATAGAAAGATCTGTCACCAACTTTACAACTATCTGTCGTTTATGAACTATGCTTCTGTCTCTACCGCTCTATATTTTCTCTCAAAGTTGCACAAATTTGAATATTTACTCCAATATTTACTACAACCTCCTCACACTCACAGCTGCTGCCCTGTTTTCTTTATAAAACGGTTCTTTCAGTCTTAAAATAGCCCATTGTCCGCACGCTGTCTTTGATTCTCTGCTTTCCAAAGAGTCCATTATTCCAGTGGATAACTCCCACACCTTCCACTTTCCCGTTTTGAAATATTGAGCAGGAATTCCATTATTGGCACACAAAGCAGGTCTAATGGTGACTTATTCATGCTAAAGTGGGCCGGTGTATTCGTAGGTGTCTGCAGACGGAGGTGGTGACATGTCGTGTTTTTTTTTGGTTTTTTTGTGGTGGCAGGTCTCTCTGTGTGGTCCTGGTGTTCAGCTCCAAAGGACAGAGGTACCTGCGGGTGGCGCTGTCCCTGCCTCTGTTCGGCTCTGTGGGGTGTCTGAGGAGGATGGTGGCGGATGAGGGCAACTTGTCTCCAGACCAGGTAAAAGCACAAGAACAACCAGAAGTAAAGGTTTTGAGACTAATCAGTTATATTAAAGGTTTGTATGGAGGATTTTTTTTTTTTTTAGTTTCAAATTGTCAATGAAAGTTTAAAATACCATTACAGAGACACAGCAGTTGTAATTATGATGACCAAAAAAAAAAAGAATGAAAATCTATCAACTGTGGACGTACTGAGGCCAGATAAACATCAGCCAATAGATAACAAGGCTACCTCATTTTCTATTGGCTGTTAGGTTACATTTCTAGTGTAACTGACTCACTGGCACGCGGGGATTACGTGGTTTATGCAGAGACTTTTTCAAACTATAGCTTCCTCGCAGTTTGCACAAAGTTTGTTGAGATGGCGGACAAGAATCCATGACCAGTTCGGCGCAAAAGAAAGTCCGTTTTTGAGGTCACTGAAAGAAGAAGAGAAGAAAGGGAAAAGGAGCAAAGCCAAACTGAGGTGATTCTTGGAGATTCCTTCCAACGATGGCAGACGAAAAGTCTAAAGACTGAAGCGTCAGTTGCTAAATTATTTCTAGACAGGTCACTTCAACAGTAATTCTGAACGCGCACCGGCTGTAAACAAGCGTGATTTCTAGAGTAAAGAGGCGGGAGGAGGTGTTTCTACTGAGGGAGCTGTGGAGGACGAAGATGGTGTCACGCATGCATAACATTTGCAAAAGGACTGTCGTTGTATTTCTCTTTCCTTAAAAAATCCTCTATACAACCTTTTAAATGTCAGGTTCCAATCATAGTAGGTTAATATTTGTGGCCGCAGCTGCCCTGGGGCAAACTGACTGTTAGGTTTCAGCTTGTACGTCTCATCTTTTACACATGAGGTGAATTTGTTTGAAGGTGATCCTGACTGAGGTTTACTCCAGCGGGTTCCAGCGTTCCTTCTTCGACGAGGAGGACCTGTCGAGCATCGCGGAGAACGACGTCATCTACGCCTTCCAGGCCCCGCCCCTTTACATCAGGGGCGGGTCCACTCGAATCTCAGGTGAACACGTGACCCCCGCCCACTTCCCCTTTTCATTTTCACTCGCTCTGTGGGGGCTCTGTGTAAATTATTATTTGATGTAATATGTTAAAAAAAGGCAGACTCCTTAACTCCTACTTTAGCTGTTGCCATGGTGACGCAATTCACACATTAAACACTGCCTGATACCTTTTTACAAACTTGTGATCAATGCAAGCGTTCATGACCCCATTTAGGTGTTTGATTTTCCACCAAAGTTTAGTGTTGACTCATGTTAGTGAGCTTGTGACTGTAATGTTATTTAGAGAGGGACTTTTTAACATCATCAGCTCTCCTGTTGTATTTGCAACTAAGGCTACGTTCAGACTGAAGCCTGAAGTGACCCAAATCAGATTTTTTTCACGCCTTTACTCCTGTATCTGATCTTTTAATGTCAGTCTGAACGACACAGATCCGATTTTTCCAAATGCGACCCAGGCCACTTGGATATGTGCTCCTAAAACCGATACATATCCGATCTTTTGACATGTGACGGCCAGGTCACATTCATCCCACCTACACGTCACAAATGTACACAAGCATTCTTCTCGTCACACAAAAACTGTGTATGAACTCCGTGTGAGTGAAGCAGTGAAGCACATCGCAATCTCACCACTCTTGGCTGCGACCCCACACCCACACGTTCCTTTCTACAGACTTTGCTGCCACTGCCCCACAAAACGCCACGGCCAAAAACCTCGTCCGTCTCCTTCTTAATCTCCTCTTTAAAACAAATACGCTGTACATGTTCTGGGTCCAGTACGACAGAAACTTTGAACTCTCCAGGTGCTCAATGCTAGTGTCCATGTTTTGGCAACTTCCATAAGCACTGATCACGCTCGCTGTGTGTGTGACGTCGTCGTGTCCTCCAATGAGCATGCGGGACAGTTTTGGAGCGTTTAAGGCTACGTTCACACTTAGCCAGGTATGTTGAGAAACTAATATTTCCCTCCCTCCATTTTCCAAAATAACATCGTGCACATAGCATCGTTTTCAGAGGTTTTCGTTTACATCAACATCAAGCGCCGTCATAACTACGCCAAGCCTCTGAGCGGCACCTGGATTAGATTCAAACCTGTAGCATTTATTTCATTACAGGTAAAATACCATGAAAAACGTACATTAGTGAGTGGGCTCGCCTCTCCACAGATCTGTTAAAGCCTCATTGGTCTCAGGTCATGGATATGAAACATCAGCTGTGTGTGCAAATGCAAACACATGAAAAGTGTTTGCACCAGAAGAAATGCGACTGCTGCTCTGATGCTTCATCATCATCATCAGAAGGGAAACACTGGTTGAACTTTTGGTGTGTCAGCTCCTAAAACTCTGTTTATCTCACTTTATACGCAAACGCCAAACTGTAGTCTTCCAGAATCTCCACCGTAGTTTTCCAGAATCTCCACTCTAGCCGGAGTTTTTAGAAAGATTTGTTTTCAGAGGTGAATTCACCGTTTGCGTGTAAAAGATGGAGACAAACAAAGGAAATGCCTCTGTTTTTAAAAATACCCATATACGTGTAAACAGGGCCTAAAGTTCACACTGGAGATCACATACAGTTCGCTTTTAATTGGAAATGTGAACGACCTCGCAAAAAAATCGGATTTCACAAAAAATCTGAATTAAGCATCAACCCCTGCAGTCTGAATGTAGCCTAAGTCAGCTCCTTAACTCTTTCCCCCCTGGACGCCTACTAGGAACAACCCATACATATGTTACTAGGGCTACACCCATAGAGCATAATTGCATAAAAGAAAACAGACTTCCACGAGTGATTTCAGGGCAATTTTGGTTCATAATCAAGTATAAAGCCCGGATAGTTTGTTGGGATATCGCAGGACTCCACACAGACGCATCAGCGGCATTCTCATCTTCATAAGTTTCACTCTCTGTAAGTCCGTCGCTATCGCTGTTTTCCACTTTATAATCACCCTCATCATCACTTTGAAATCTATAAAAGTCACTTTCTCTAAACTTATCCATAAAATACGTCCGCTCCTCATTATTTCTAAAACTGTGCGCCGCAGCGCGATCTTTCCATTACACGTGTTTCGTGTTGTGTTTTTTCCGGAAGCTACCATCGTCACTACTTCGATTAACTTCGGAAAAAATCTGCGAAAACATATCCTTGAATCCTATTGGTCAGTCTAGTGTGGGTTGTAGTGGCCCCGACCTATCGCAGTCTCTGTTTAAATGTGAAAAACCGAGCCGTTTCTAAAGGTCGTCAAATCACGTCTTTAGTGATACAGCGGAGGAGTCAAAAGTCGTCATTAAGGGTATGGGGGGGGTCGTCAAATGTCGTCTTCATGGGGGAAAGAGTTAAGGTCAGATTGTGTTAAAACTGCTCAAATTTAAGTTTAAACTTGTTGGAAAGTTCATCATCTGAAGTGTATCAGTCATATCCCTATTACAATACAAAATATTGTTATTGAATTATTGCATGTTTTTTTTTTTTCTTTTTTCATATCGTGCAGCCCTTCATCACGTTATTTTTCTCTTAAAGTACATTGTGCAAATCTGCTCCTTGGGGCCCGGTGCATCAATTTCTACTGCTCTGCACCATCCATCCAACAGACTATTCTAAACGTGAGACTATTTTTACCCCAAACAAAACAATCCTGTAAATTTACCGCTGTTACCGACTCCACGAGAGGATCCATCTGACCACGGGGAGCCACATGATCAGATCTGTGCCTGTGAAGCACGCCGCCCCCCCCGCCGGGCCGCTGTTTTCTCCTCTTCTGCCCCGCTTTTGTCCTGCCTAAAATACTACTGCGTACCGGGGTAATCCCTTTAGTGTTGGAATTAATGTGCAGCCCAGACCGCCGGCCCTCCTCGCTGTCTGGTTGCCGCGGATACGACTCTAAACGTAGTGCTGCGTTCGTGGACCGTCGGACACGAGGGGAAACGATTTATTCCAGTGGAAGAATGCACAGAAAAGTTAAGTTTAGTCGAGCCAAGAGCAAAGGTACAATAATCTCGTCGCAAATATTTAATACCTGGAGTTGTGTTTTGTTTCATTCACTCAATACAGGAGGTGCTCCACTGTGTTTTTAAACTCCATACACTTTCACTAGAATCATTTGGATGAATTTCAGACCTGGAATTGACCATTTTTAATGAACTAAAGGTAAAAGTAGCTGTTAACTTGAAAACTACAGCTTTGTGACATTATAAGCTGGAACAGAGCATTTTCAGCTTTGTAGAATAGTAGTATAAATGCAGTAGTAGAAGTATAAAGGATTACCGTATTTTTTGGACTATAAGGTGCACTGGATTATAAATGAAAAAACAGATAATGATTTATTTTTTTCAGTTTTTGATTGTGTGCTTAAATGAATAATGGAAAAAAATGGATAATGGACGTTTCCTGTTTCCGTGACTTAAGCTGTGATGCCGAACTTTTGCACGGCATATGGACTAAAATAGGACTAAACCAGAACTGATCCCAGGACTGAACCAGGTCTAAACCAGGATTAAACCAGAATTTAACCAGAACTTAACCAAAATTTAACCAGGACTGAACCAGGAACGAAACCAGGACTAAAGCAGGTCTAAACTAGGACTACACCATGTCTAAACTAGGACTACACCATGTCTAAACCAGGACTACACCAGGACTGAACAAGGACTAAAACAGGACTCTGCTCCAGTCTTTTCGCCTGCGGTCACCTGACAGGCTACATGGGCGCACCTCCAGGCCTGTCCCACACTCTGTCATGGTTCAGTTCTGGTTTAGTCCTGTTTTAGTCCAGTTTTAATCCTAGTTCAGTCCTGGTTTTGTCCTGAGATCAGTCCTGGTTTAATCCTGGTTTAGTCCTAGTTCAGTCCTGGTTTAGTCCTGGGATCAGACCTGGTTTAGTCTTGTTTTAGTCTTGGTTCAGTCCTGGTTCAGTCCGTATGCGGCGCAAAAGTTTGGCATTGCAGTTTAAGTCACGGAAACGGGAAATGGCCAAAAAACAAATGAATGAATGATACACTGATTATGGTCTTCAGTTTTCTTTTGTTTTCTAAATTGCTGCTTTTACAGCTCACCACATGGAGTAAGCTGTGTTTTAAACTTTTATAATGTCACCTTTAAGTTCAATAACATTAAAACGAGTTGTGGAGTAGCCTGTTCACTTTTTAAAATACGTATGTTAGCAGTAGTAGCAGTAGTAGTAGTGATAGTAGTAGTAGTTGTAGTAGTAGTAGTAGTGATAGTAGTAATCGTAGTAGTTGTAGATGTAGTAGTAGTAATATTAGTAGTGATAGTAATAGTAGTAGTAGTAGTAGGAGTTGTAGTAGTTGTAGCAGTAGTAGTAGTAGTAGTAGTAGTAGTAGTAGTGGTGGTGATAGTAATAGTAGTAGTAGAAATAATAATAGTAGTAGTAGTCAGTAGTAAGTAGTGCTGTAGTAGTAGTAGTAGCAGTAGCAGTAATAGTTGTAGTAGTAGTAGTAGTAGTAGCAGTAGTAGTAGTAGTAGTAGTAGTAGTAGTAGTAGTAGTAGTAGTAGTAGTATAGTAGTGGTAATAGTAATAGTGGAAATATTAATAGTAGTAGTAGTCATAGTAATTGCGGTAGCAGTAGCAGTAACAGTAGTAATGGCAGTAGTAGTACTAGTAGTTGTAGTAGTAGCAGTTGTAGTAGCAATAGTAGTAGCAGCAGTAGTAGTAGTAGTAGTAATATTAGGAGTAATATTAGTAGTAGTAGTAGTAGTAGTAGCAGTAATAGTAGTAATGATAGTAGTAGTAGTTGTAGCAGTAGTAGCAGCAGCAGCAGCAGCAGCAGTAGTAGTAGTAGTAGTAGTAGAAATAGTAATCGTAGTAGTAGCAGTTGTAGTAGTAGCAGTAGTAGTAGAAGCAGTCGTAGTAATACTAATAGTAGTAGCAGAAATAATAATAATAGTAGTAATAATGATTGTAATAGTAGTAGTAGTAGTAGTAGTAGTAGTAGTAGTAGTAGTAGAGTAAGCTGTGTTTTCCTCTTTTTTTCCAGTTCATTAA